CGCCGCGGGGGGGAGCGCGGCGGCGGCGGCACCGGGGCACCGGCACGGCCCGCGCCCGGGGCTGCCCCACGCCTCCGGCACCGGCTGCCCCCACAGACAGCCCCGGGGATGGGCGTCCCCCCTGTAAGCGTCCCCCAGGGTGGGTACGCAGCCCCCCGCCAGAGCTGTACCCCCGAGGATGGGCACCCGACAAAGTAAAGCTTTCCCTGCATCTTTCTTCCACAGCGACCCCGCAGAGGGTAGGCAGCCCCCTGGAGATGCCCCAAGGAATGGCATCCCTCCTAAGAGTGTCCCGAGGGCAGGGTGTTGTGCATGCACATAGCCTCTCCTCGAGGGCGCACCCCCCCATAGCCACCCTCCTTGGTCCAGTCATACCCCCACATGCTCCCTCTCCCCAGTGCTGGGCAGACCTCCCCCTCCAGAGCCATCCCAAGGGCCAGGTATCCCCTCCAGGGCCAGGCATCTTTCCACAGCTACTTCCCAAGAGATAGGCAGCCCTCCTAAAGGCTGGATATCCCCCCAAGGGCTTGGCAGCACCCTTATAGCCATATCAAGGGGTAGTCATGTTCTCCCAGTCTGTGCATCTCTCTAACAGCCGTCCCAAGGGATGGGCATCTCTTCTTCAGGGGCCAGGTGTTCTCCCACAAAGGACCAGGCATCCCAATTAATACCTTTTCCCAACAAAATTCACGCCCCCCCCCTTACCCTCCCCACAAAAGCAGGGTGTCCACCCACCCCCAGTACCAGCTGCCCTGCCCAAAGGCCAGATATTCCTCCAGGACATACTGGGGGGCAGGAAGACACTCCACTCCTTGGGTGTACCCAAAAGCACTACCCCATCCCTGCCATGGGGAGCCAAGCCCAACACCCCAGAGGTGGAGGTAAGGGGCACAAAAACCCCATCCATGGGGCACAGGAAGTGCAAAAGGGCCAGAGATAAATGGCACCCATAATTTGTGGGGTGGTTAGGACTGTTTCTTTGCTCATTTCACTCCCTTCTCAGTTCTTTATTGGATAGACCTGCTGCTGCTCCCACCAGGAAAGCTGCCCCAAAGAGCCGCTGAGGGCACCCAGGGGGGTTGGTAAACCAACACGGAGCAGCACCCAACCCATGCGCAATCCCCCCATCACTACCTTGGAGCAATGATGAAGATGCTCAACCTGGTGTTTCCCTCGCCAAAAATGGGGGACACCCCAACAAATAAACGGAGTGCCTGGGGCAGTTTCTCCCCAGCCACAGCCCACACCAGCCCAGCCTGCTGCTGCCGGGCTCTCCTGGGCCCTGGCGGCACGCAAAGGGTTTCTCCCTCGTCCAGTGATAGGCCTGTAGCATCTGGCGTGTCCCCAAATACAGAAGGGAAACGGCTATTCAGCACTTCTGCAGCCTGATTGCTATTAACAGCTCCACCATTCCCTTTCCCGGTGGACCCGCACTACCGCTGGGCAGCTGCAGCTTTTTATCAGCTTAATATTTAAAATGTAAGTTGTCGTCCTCCTTTCCAGCACGGATGGTTCTCCCTCCCCATGGTCTCCATTGGCTCCCTATCTGTCATCATAGGTTTCCACCTGGGCTCTCTCAGCCCTGCCCTGCACCCTGGGAAATGTCATTAATATCCTTGGAAAAGTCATGGAGTGGCCCATGGAGACCCGCTCAGTGTCTGCCAGGGCCTGGGGATGGGCTGGCTCTGCCCCATCCCGGGGTATCAGGGGCTCCCCTGGGACATGGACACCCAGTGCTACAGGACCAGCTTCCGTGACCCCATCCTGGCTCACGCTGGCATCAGGGCGCTGTGCCACAGGAGCAACATGCAGGACAGGATCAGCCCTGGCATCCCTGCCTGCTCCACACCATGCACGCCTGTTCCACCGCCCTCCCACTGCCACCATGGTCCCCAGGGACCAGCTGTCGCCCAGGACCTGTGTGCCCCGGAGCCACTGTCACATCATGGTGACTTGCACCCTGAGCAAGAGGCCATGGGGCTCGGCAGAAGGACAGCTGGTTTGGGGATCCCAAGATTTGCAGCAGGAGTGACAATACCAGTGACAGGGCCAGATCCTGCCACGCCAATGAGGATTCAAAACCCAACTGGAAAATGGCAGGATGGGGCTCAGCCTGCCCTGCCCTGACGCCACAGAGATGAGCTTTGAGTCTCCCAGCAGGGCACTTATTTCTCCTGGAGCCACCCGAAAGGGGACTGGGAGCCCTGCAGGCCACCGGCCCTGGGGGAGCGGGATGGGGAGCAGGATGGGGAGCAGGGGCTCAGCTCGCACGCAGGGAGACTTCTCCTGCCGCTTCTTGCTGACCGGCTGTTTTATATCAAGGCGGGAGGGGGGATTTGCTGTTCTAGATGGTATTTTAATGGGCAGGCAGGCAGCTGGAGCCTGGGAGAAGCCTGCTTTACATTGTTTGGGGTTGTAACAAATAAATTCAATTAAAGGCAAATGGCTCCGCGCAGCCCCCACCCTGCGCAGTGTCTCTGCGGCACTGGTGGCTGCGGGTGCGAGGCGGGAGCCCCGCACAGGGGCTGCCCGGGGCTCTGCCCAGCCTCGGGGCTCTGCCCAGCCTCGGGGCTCTGCCCAGCCTCGCCCCTCGGCCCCGCCGCAGGGAGATGCCGGGGTGAGCTGGCAGGATGCGGTGGGAGCCGGGAAGGGCAGGGCACCGCAACCACAGAGTACCCACAGAGAGGATGGAGTGTCGGGGGAGTCCACCCTGTCCCCACACTGCGTGTCCCACCCCGCTGAGCAAAGGAGATGTGAAAATCCCCGTGGCAGGAGCCCCATGCTCTCCCCAGCGAGCACTCCTCAGGAAGGGCAGCCCGGGACAACAGCAGCATCCTCCGGGCAAGCAGAGACTGGGCAGAGGCTGGGGCGTGGAACTGAGCTTTGCATGGCCACCATGCAACCCCAAAGCCCCATGGCCGGGGGGAGAAGCAGAGGGGACTTGGCAGGGACATGCCAGAGCCTCAGCACGCTGTAAACAGCCGCCGCCGCAGCAGCAACTCCTCTGCCGGGAGCCAGCGCCGGGCGTTAGTTAGCTGGAAACCAGATGGTGCTCTCCCAACCACCGGCACAGCCCGCCGGCCACGGCCCGGAGCCAGGCACAGGCTCTCAGGGACCCCAGGGCTGCACAGCACCCAGCACTGGGACCCCGTCGAGGTGGACGGAGAGCTGGGGGCGCAGGGAAGGCCCCATAGATGGACAGGGAGTGTCAGTGTGTCCCCGACCCCATTGCTTCCTCAGCCAGTACCATGTGTGTCCCAAGGCATGATGTGTTGCAAGGGATGGAGAAGGGAGGCAGAATCCACCAGAGAGGATTGGAGATAGGGAGTTAACATCCCTCAAAATGCCCATGCATCGCTGGGTGCCACATCGTGCCTCAGTTTCCCTGTGCCTCCCAAACAGCAGGGAACAACCAACAGCTAGTTCACAGGTCAGAGTCCACCTCATCCCCCAGATAAGATAGGGAAGAGATAAAGCCCCATCTCCGTGGCCAGGGAAAGCCTCAGCAGTCCCTGGCACATCACACCTGGAGTAACCCTCCATGGGAAATACAACATGGAATACAGACAGCGAGCCCCCATCCCAGCACCGCCAGCAGGACCTGGGGCTCCAAGCTCTTCCCCACTCCCCAGCGGTCTTGGGAGCAGGTGCACTGAGGGGGCATAGTGGACCCATCCCAGCCCTGGGATTTTGGGGGGGTCTGCAGCAAGAAGACAAACAGCCGGGGCTGGGGAGGGGCCGGGGGGAAGGACGGCATCCCTGGTAGCCGTGGCGGGGGTCCTGTGGTGTTTACAGAGCTTAAAACCCGCCTAAGCCCCGCAAGGCCATGGCTCACAATAGTGTGTGGACGTGGTGACACCGGCCGTCCCCACACCACCTTGGAAGACAGAGAGCCCTGCCACCCACCGCCAGCACCGGGATTAATTATGATAATGTAGTTCTTTCCCCCTTTGTCACCCTAATGAATGGGCCCCTTTAGGATTTTAAGGCCTTTGTTTGGTGCCTCTTTACTGCGGTATTGTAGGATGGGGACTAGCAGGTGGCAGGTCCCCAAACAGCCCCTTTTGTCTCCTTTGGGGGCTGTTTTGTGGTGGGGTTGGGGAGGGGGATGCGAGGATGCAGGAGCGGGGGTGTGCTGCAAGGGAGCTCCTGGACGGAGCCGTAGCACCCGTGCCATCGCTGTGGGGCCGTGGCACCCCACAGTGTGCATCATGGCATTGGGGATCGCCGGCCCCGGCGTGCCCCGAGCCACCCGTGCCCAGGCCTGCTCGGTGGGCAGATGCGGGGAGCCACCGTCTGAGCCCCTGCCTTGATCTTTTACTGCCTGGGCAAATCAATTACCCAGCAGAAAAGTCTCTAAATCCCACCATAAAACCCGTTTAGCAGCCGCGGTGGCGCTCGCCAGGCCCTGGGCAAACCTCGCCCTGTGCCGGCACGGAGCTGGAGCGATTTTCCGCGGGGACAGTGGGTAACTGCTGCCGGGGAAGGTCGGGCTGCAGGCGCAGCTGCACAACATCTCCCCACTCCCAGGAGGCAGATGAGGGCTCCCCAGGAGTCCTGGCTGTGCTCAGACCCTTCCGAGACCTCCACAGCTCCGTGTCCTTCTGCACCAGTCTGTCCCCCTCCACATCCCCTGAGGGCAGGAGCAGCTGGGGACCAGGGACAGGCAGCTGAGGTGGCACAGAGGCACGGGGAGCAGGGATAAGGCAGGGCACAGAGACACCCAAATGGCAACACCCTGTGCCAGCGTGGATCCATGGGCTTTGTGTCAGGGCCATTGGCTGTGCTCATGGTGCCACCACAGCTGTGATGATGGAGCCTTGCTTCCTCCTATGCAGACACATAGAAGCATCTTTAATACCAGTGCCAGTACAGGGATGACACCAGTACAGGGTTGAGGGGCCCAGGAATGGTTAATGTCCCCCTGATTGCAGGCTGGGCTGGGTGATTCCTTCAGGATGCCCAGGAGCACTGGAGAGGCTGCACGGTTCTGCCTGGGGGCATTGTCAGGTGCCGGGCGTTGGGGATCCCTCTGCTGTGCTGGACCTTCCGGCACACGGGACCCCGGCTGCCATGAACCCCTGGGGCTCCATGAGGAGGGGGGAGATCTTGGCCAGGCACTGCCGGGGGCTGCAAACTGGTGAGCAGCGGGGTGGTAAAACGGTGACAAGTAATTGGTGTCCCGGCCAGTCCTTTCATGCCGACGCCGTTTTATGGGTGAGGAAATTGCTTGTGAGTCAGGAACACAGGAGACAAATTTAGGAAGTGCTCTCTGAATGTGCCGGGGTCAGGCGCCGAGGCCGAGTGCTTGAAACCTGGGTGGCCTCGCCGCTCGCCCCGCGTTCCGCCCCCCCCCGGCTCCTCGGCATGGGAAAGCAGACCT